TTTAACCGCTTTATGCACGACCATGACTTATATGACATCTGGAGATGCCAACATGGTGCAGAAAGAGACTACACCTACTTTTCACCGCCACATCTGTCATATTCTAGAATTGATATGTTCATTACGGACAAATGGACTCTACAACATGTGACATCCTCCCAAATTGGAGCTATAACCTGGTCTGACCATGCACCGATCATCATATCCCTGTACGACACCCAGCGGTTGGCGATTCCGCCTATTTGGAGACTCAACTCTGCAATTTTGAATACACCAGAAAACCAGAAATTCATATTAGATGCACATGACTTATTTTTTGAAACCAACATTACCCCGGAAATTTCTATTACCACACTTTGGCTAACATATAAGGCTTATATGAGAGGTATCCTCATCCAATTAACTTCTCGCGTTAAAAAAAACAACGATCTCAGCAAATAGACCTACTCCTTGCTTCTATACGTAGAAACGAGGAGATTAATAAACAGAATCCAAACGCCACCATAACCGCGGCTTTAAACCAAGATAAGGACAAACTCCGCACTGCTCTTTTACACGTTTATGATGCGAACCTCCAAAGAACAAAATCCCAATACTATGCGCTTGGTAACAAGACTAACTCTTTTCTTGCCAAAATCATTAAACAGAAACGAATTAAAAACAAAATAGCCACGATTCAGCATCCTATTTCCACTATCCCTCTATCTAATCCACAAGACATAGCTGATGCGTTTGCGTGTTACTATCAATCGTTATACAACATAAAAGATGACCCTGACACAACTCAACCAACAAACTTGTCGGTTGAAAATTTCCTAAGCCAAACCGAACTTCCCCGTCTTACACCTACTCAATTAGCCTCCCTCTCTGTGCCGATTTCACCTGCAGAGATCGAGAAAATCATAACTAAACTTCCCATGAACAAATCTCCGGGAAACGACGGCTTTACCAATCAATTTTATAAAAAGTTTGCGACTAATCTCAAGCTACACCTATCTGACCTCTATAACCACGTTGCTTCTAAAGGGGAATTTCCTTCTGACATGCTACAGTCAATAATTTCTACTATCCCGAAACCGGGTAAAAACCCCCAATTAGTCCAAAACTATAGACCAATTTCACTACTTAATACGGATCTGAAAATATATGCCAAAATAATAGCTCAACGACTCCTCCCGTATCTTCCGACGCTAATCAAAGCTGATCAGGTGGGATTTGTACCAGGTAGAAAGGCCCCTGATGCAACTCGTCGACTTATATCATTATTACACCTTCTTGAATCAAAACAAACAACCTTCAATTCTTCTATCACTCAATGCAGAAAAAGCGTTTGATCGCATTCACTGGCGTTTTATGACACTAACTCTTCAAAAACTAGGCATTACGGATTGAATGCTATCGGCGATTTTATCCCTATACTCCAAACCTTCAGCCAGAGTCCTCACTAATGGTACGCTTTCACAACCATTTCAAATATCTAATGGTACTAGACAAGGCTGTCCCCTCTCCCCCATAATTTTCGCCCTACTTATCGAACCACTAGCATCCAACCTTAGAAATGACCCCAATTTTTCAGGGATTAAATTTTTTCAGCAAGAACACAAAATCAGTCTTTTTGCGGACGACATTATTCTAATGATCACGAACCCCTGCAAATCTCTCACCTCAATACGCTCACACATACAAAACTATACAGATGTATCTTATTACAAACTAAATGAAAACCAAATCTTCAATTTTAAATCTTCATACTCCTCCACCGACCCAAGCTCTCCTTGAAAAACAATTCCCCTTTAAATGGGAAAAACACAGTATCCCATACTTGGGGATTAAACTTACCTCCACAACCAATCAACTCTATGCAGAAAACTTTAAACCCCTAATAGATACCATACCAAAAAGAACTTAGGAGATTGCGTACAACCACACTATCAATGCTAGGTAGAGTAGCTACTATTAAAATGTGTATATTGCCGAAGATACTATATATCTTCCGTACATTACCTGTACCTATACCCTCCTCTATCTTCTCCGTAATGCAAAAAATTCTAAATAAATTTTTATGGAATTCTAAACGACCCAGATGCTCTACAAACCTTCTGATCCGCCCGCCTTCCAGAGGAGGAGCTGGTCTCCCACATTTAAAATCTTATTATCAGGCAGCCCTACTAGACCAGCTCTTCTACTGGTGGCACCCTACTCAGGAAAAAATCTGGACTATTATGGAGCCCTCCAGATATCCACAAGGTGCCTTAACAGATTTGCTTTTCGTGCCTCGCACAACACAGATTGGACATACTCACACACATCCATGTATTCAGGCCTCATTAACAGCTTGGCATGAGCTCTTGACATGCACTCAGTCACAGAAAACTAACTTACAAATTCCGACTCCTATCTCCGCTCTGCAATTTCTATCCCCTAATTTAAATCTAAAATCCTGGATAAAGTTGGGTATTTGTCATATCCAAGATATTTATGATAACCATGAACCCGAGTCATTCCAGATACTTCAGGAAAAATTCCATCTTCCCAATACGGAACACTTCACTTTTATGCAAATATCCCATTTGCTTCATAAAACGGATATCCCTCTTAAAAATAAACCTCCCAGCTACTGCTCATCATTTCCTTTACAAGACCAATTATCCAAAGAAAGGGATCTCTACCTTTTATACATTACTAACTGAAGCATATTTCACGACCCACTCATCATCCCTTACTAATTGGGAGAAAAACTTCCTCTCCCCAGTGACCCCACAATCATGGCAAATGACTTTTGCCACTACATACAAAGCGTCGAAATGTAGCTCCCACTGGGAATCATATTTAAAAATTCTCCACCAATGCTACTTGACCCCTGCCAAATTATCCATTTATTATCCGCAGCAACCAAAAACTTGCTGGAGACAATGTGGTGAAACTGGTTCACTTTTTCATTTACTATTGTCTTGCAAGTCCCTCAAATCTTATTGGAACAAAGTGTTCCAATTGATCTCCTCAGTCACAGACTCACCTACGACTCTTAACCCGGAATTAGCTCTTCTACATCTAACGATAGAACAATTCCCGGTGCACTCACGCACCATTATCATACACATTCTAGCAGCAGCCAAGACTAACATTATGAGGCTTTGCGCGCTCTACGTCACCTCCTCTACTAGCCCGTCTCATTGCTGACCTCAATTTGCAATGTGAGATGGAAAGAAGAGCGGCCTTTCGAAACTCTTCTTACCACAAATTCACACTACACTGGTCTCGATGGCTAACACATCCCAATTGCTCAATTACATGATTACGAACCTTATCCTTATGACATGCTGAATTTGCAGAACATTGGTGCCCCTTCTTCTTCCCCCTTCCACTCTTTTCTATACCCGTTTTCACCCTCTGTTTAATTCCCTCACGTTTTTTTTACTCATTATGATGGTTCGCAATCTAATGAACATACCTCTCTTATAAGTATGATTATGATAAATGAACTCCCGGCCTGATGGTGGGGGTTTAATACCTCATTCTCATTTCATTTTCTATTATCTCGTTTATGTGAACCTTGCACTTGATTATATCTTGATATTAACGTGTTTGTTTAAGACTTTAAAAATTTTCAATAAAAACTATTTGAAAATAAAATGCACTACTTGGCTATCAAAAGCGATTCACAGTGCTAAGCCTTTCATGCAATTTCTAAATTGTTGCATTTGTAAACTTCAAAAGCCAATATAAAGGAATAGTAGTGGTAAAAACGTACTTGTTGGTTTTACCCATCATTTTTTTGTACAATTCTAATTTCTTAAGGCGGTGTGGCAGAAGGTGTGTCCTATGCCTACATACTTTTGGTAATAGGTGTCCCTCGTTCCCATCTCAGAAAGTTGGGAGGTTTGTCTAAATTGGTGCATTTGTAAACTTCAAAAGCCAATATAAAGGAATAGTAGTGGTAAAAATGCACTTGTCGGTTTAACCCATCATTTTTTTTTGTACAATTCTAATTTCTTAAGGGGCGTGGCAGGGTGTGTGTCCTATGCTTACATAGTTTTGGTAATAGGTGTTCCTCGTTCCCATCTCAGGAAGTTGGGAGGTTTGTCTAAAACAACTTCTATATGAACAGGAACTAACTTCACCATTGATGCTTTTAGACAGAAGGCTGAATAAATGCAATAGACTTTGCATCAAAACAAAATGCTAAGATCCTAAAAAGAGTAGTTGAATTTACAGAAAGAGCTCAGCTAATCCTGCACACAGGAGCGAGGAAAAGCAGATCAAAAAGTTCATCTACTTGCTTCTATGAACTAGCAATAACAACAGAACAAAGAAGATAACATGTAGAAGAATACATGGAAGCATAACAGGTGATAAAGACAAGTGGGTAAAGAACCTTTCAGACAGAGTGATTGTACAACCTGAGAATTAAGTCATAGCCAAAGCAATGGACTTTGCTGTGGCAGTCCTGTCCTGTGCCAAAGCACTACCTCCCCATCGTGACCTCACTAGATACTCATTAAAAGGAGAGCTCTTTCATCACTTAGTAGGGATCAAAGCAATACCATCTCACTATTGGACAAGGGGAGATGCATCATGGTCATGAATGCATTCAGCTGCCATTCCAAGGTGACCATTCCTCTCAGTGAGGCCAACACAGGCTGCAATCCTATCACCCTTAGTTGCCAACACACTGCACCATATTCAGAATTCTAAAGAATTGGAGTCCAAAAAAGAAGATCACATACCAGAGTTTCTGGCTACCAAGAATGGGCCATCCCCAAACTGTTTCCACAAAGTTGGGAGCATGAAATTGTCCAAAATGTCTTGGTATGCTGGCGCCTTAAGAGTTCCCTTCAATGGAAATAAGGGGCCAAGCCCAAACCCTGAAAGACAACCCCACATCACGATCCCCCCTCCACCAAACTTTACACTTAGCACAATGCAGTCAGGCAAGTACCGTTCTTTTGGAAACCTCCAAATCTAGACTTGTCCATGATTCGTCACTCCAGAGAACACATATCCATTGCTCTAGAGTCCAGTGGCAGTGTGCTTTACACTACTGCATGGATGCAGCAGCTCGATCATGGAAACCCATTCCATGAAGCTCTCTATGCACTGTTGTGCTAAACTGAAGGCCACATGAAGTTTGGAGGTCTTTAGCTATTGACTCTGCAGACATTTGGTGACTTCTGCACACTGTGCGCTTCAGCATGCACTGATCCCGCTGTGTCGTTTTATGTGGCCTACCACTTCATGGCGGAGTTGCTGTTGTTCCCAGTCACGCTTCCACTTTGTTATAATACCACTAACAGTTTACTGTGGAATATTTAGTAGCAAGGACATTTCATGGATTGACTTATTGCACAGGTGTCAACCTTTCACGGTACACACATTTGAATCCACTGAGCTCCTAAGAGTGACCCATTCTTTTACAAATGTTTTTAGAAGCAGTCTGCATGCCTAGGTGCTTTATTTCCTGTGGTCATGGAGGTGATTTGGAACACCTGAATCCAATTAGCAATATTGTGTATTATCAGATAATGTGTCACTTATCTGTCACTGCAACAACTATAGACATACTGGGGAGAAATTTACTGCCAGTTTAGATCAGCTAAAAAATTTGTTCTGACAAAAAAAGAACAACTTTTAGGTTCTACTTCACACTTATGAATGAGGCTGCTTAAGATTACCCATGGGAGATTCAACAAGGATCCATGCTAATAAGTGTGGGTGGGAAGCCCTATTGCAAGTAATGGGAGCCTGGCAGACAGTATGGGGTTTATTTACTAAACTTGGAGAGTGAAAAATCAGGTGCAACTCTGCATAGAAACCAATCAACTTCCAATTTTAATTGCCAAAGCTTGAAGTGTTACTAAACCCAAGACCCTGCATTCACTATATCTGGTCTCTCACGGTACACAGAACATGGAAATGCAATTATTTTAGTAAATATAAACTGCTAAATACCTTTTCTCATCAGCAGCTAGAGCAGTCTTGTACCTTCTATCAGTCTCCAGCTGAGCACTGGTTACAGCTTGTAGAAGGAGTTTTCATTCTCCTGTAGGAGGATGCAGGACCCCTGACCTCTGTCTGGGCAGTGCTGTTTGGCTCTGTGCTGATCACATGCACTCTCCCAAAAAAAAAAACTCTAGCAATACACACCAAACTGAACATGTGCAGCTTTCTCCTGACCCTCTGTTCTATCAGGAGATATTTAGGAGACACTGTAAGAAGGGGAGGATCAGAGAAGACAGGATCAAACATTCTTTTTACACAATGTGGAGGATTGGCCTCTTAGGTTCCACAGTGAGTATAACAAGCATGCTTTACTGCATATATAGACTGATTTTACTGTTGTGGGTTTAGTAACACTTCATTTGAACAAACTGAGAATAGAAGCTGATTGGCTAACATGCACAGCTGCACCAGATTCTAAGTGTACAAGTTTTAGTAAATCTACCCCTATGCCCTCAAACCGTATCGTCTACAGGTTATTGCTGCAGAACAATTATTTTAGCAAATAGACACAAATAGCTGTGAGAAATGTCAAGCTTTCAGTGGGGCTTCCCATTCATGCCTATTCACATGGATCCTTGAGTCTAATTGCTAACAGCCCCATTCACAAGTTTCACATTCACAATTTTATCTCTTTGCATAACCAACAACCAATCTGTCTTCAAAATCTGTTAGCCTTTGAAAGTGTTAGTACGCGTTTTAGGTAGATTTCCACTTATTTCTTATCCTGGTGATAGGTGGCAGTTGGGTAGTCAATCCCTCCAAAAGCATCAAATACAGCATAAAATTACAACAAAAACAATTTAATGCAGCGGGGAAGGATTAGAACTAGAGATGAGCGAATCGAAGTAGGCGAAGTGGAATTCGAGTTGAATATTGGAAAATTTTCGATTCGCGCCGAATCCGAAAAATAGCCTACTTCGGACGCGCGAATCAAAATTTTTCCTAAAATGGCGGCGGACATGTGCGGCGACGGAGCGGGGATGTCTGGGAGGGCGCAGACAAGGCGCGCTGACCCATAATGCATTCCTTAATGACATGTGATCGCATTAGCCAATCAGCAGCCAGGCAGCCAGCACTGTGTAATGGTCGAGCTATAAATAGCGGCCATTTTAGAATTCTTCATTTGCCTCCAGTCATTCAAGAGAGGCAGACCGCTCTGTATTAGGGACAGAGTTAGGGCCACAGAAACGTTACTTGGGGACAGAGAAACGTTACTTAGGACAGAGAAGCATTACTCAGGGACACAGAATTGTTAATGAGGGCCACAGAATCGTTACTTAGGGCCAAAGAAACGCTAGTTAGGGCCACAGAATTGTTACTCAGGGACAGATAGAATTGTTACTGAGTGCCAGAGAATTGTTACTTAGGGCCACAGAAACGTACGTTAGGGCCACAGAATTGTTACTCAGGGACAGACACAGAATTGTTACTGAGGGCCACAGAACTGTTACTTAGAGGCCACAGAAACGTTATTAGGGCCACAGAATTGTTACTCAGGGACAGACAGAATTGTTACTGAGTGCCACAGAATTGTTACTTAGGGCCACAGAAACGTTAGTTAGGGCCACAGAATTGTTACTCAGGGACAGACACAGAATTGTTACTGAGGGCCACAAAATTGTTACTTAGGGCCACAGAAATTGTTACTCAGGGTTACAGACAGAATTGTTACTGAGATGCCAGAGAATTGTTACTTAGGGCCACAGAAACGTTAGTTAGGGCCACAGAATTGTTACTCAGGGCAGACACAGAATTGTTACTGAGGGCCACAGAACTGTTACTGAGGGCCACAGAAACATTAGTTAGGGCCACAGAATTGTTACTCAGGGACAGACACAGAATTGTTACTGAGGGCCACAGAACTGTTACTTAGGGCCACAGAAACGTTAGTTTAGGGCCACAGAATTTGTTACTCAGGGACAGACACAGAATTGTTACTGAGGGCCACAGAATTGTTACTTAGGGCCACAGAATTGTTACTCAGGGACAGACAGAATTGTTACTGAGTGCCACAGAATTGTTACTTAGGGCCACAGAAACGTTAGTTAGGGCCACAGAATTGTTACTCAGGGACAGACAGAATTGTTACTGAGTGCCACAGAATTGTTACTTAGGGCCACAGAAACGTTAGTTAGGGCCACAGAATTGTTACTCAGGGACAGACACAGAATTGTTACTGAGGGCCACAGAATTGTTACTTAGGGCCACAGAAACGTTACTCAGGGACACAGAATTGTTACTGAGGGCCACAGAATGTTACTTAGGGCCACAGAATTGTTACTTAGGGCCACAGAATTGTTACTCAGGACACAGAATTGTTACTTAGGGCCACAGAATTGTTACTCAGGGACAGACAGAATTGTTACTGAGTGCCAGAGAATTGTTACTTAGGGCCACAGAAACGTTTAGTTAGGCAACAGAATTGTTACTCAGGGACAGACAGAATTGTTACTGAGTGCCAGAGAATTGTTACTTAGGGCCACAGAAACGTTAGTTAGGGCCACAGAATTGTTACTCAGGGACAGACACAGAAACGTTACTCAGGGCCACAGAATTGTTACTTAGGGCCACAGAAACGTTACTCAGGGACACAGAATTGTTACTGAGGGCCACACAACCGTTACTTAGGGCCACAGAAATTGTTACTCAGGGACAGGACACAGAATTGTTACTCAGGACACACAGAATTGTTACTGAGGGCCACAGACCGTTACTTAGGGCCACAGAAACGTTACTCAGGGACACAGAATTGTTACTGAGGGCCACATAAACCGTTACTTAGGGCCACATAATTGTTACTCAGGGACAGACACAGAATTGTTACTGAGGGACACAGAATTGTTACTGAGGGACACAGAACCGTTACTTAGGGCCACAGAATTGTTACTCAGGGACACAGAATTGTTACTGAGGGCCACAGACGTTACTTAGGGCCACAGAATTGTTACTCAGGACAGACACAGAATTGTTACTCAGACACACACACAGAATTGTTACTGAGGGACACAGAATTGTTACTGAGGGCCACAGAAACGTTGTTATCAGGGACACAGAATTGTTACTGAGGGCCCACAGAACTGTTACTTAGGGCCACAGAAACGTTACTTAGGCCACAGAATTGTTACTCAGGGACAGACACAGAATTGTTACTGAGGGCCACAGAATTGTTACTTAGGGCCACAGAATTGTTACTCGGGGACAGACAGAATTGTTACTGAGTGCCACAGAGAATTGTTACTTAGGGCCACAGAAACGTTAGTTAGGGCCACAGAATTGTTTTACTCAGGGGACAGACAGAATTGTTACTTGAGGGCCACAGAATTGTTACTTAGGGCCACAGAAACGTTAGTTAGGGCCACAGAATTGTTACTCAGGGACAGACACAGAATTGTTACTGAGGGCCACAGAATTGTTACTTAGGGCCACAGAAACGTTACTCAGGGACACAGAATTGTTACTGAGGGCCACAGAACTGTTACTTAGGGCCACAGAAACGTTAGTTAGGGCCACAGAATTGTTACTCAGGGACACAGAATTGTTACTTAGGGCCACAGAATTGTTACTCAGGGACAGACACAGAATTGTTACTGAGTGCCACAGAATTGTTACTTAGGGCCACAGAAACGTTAGTTAGGGCCCACAGAATTGTTACTCAGGGACAGACAGAATTGTTACTGAGTGCCACAGAATTGTTACTTAGGGCCACAGAAACGTTAGTTACTAGGGCCACAGAATTGTTACTCAGGGACAGACACAGAATTGTTACTCAGGGCCACAGAATTGTTACTTAGGGCCACAGAAACGTTACTCAGGGACACAGAATTGTTACTGAGGGCCACAGAACCGTTACTTAGGGCCACAGAATTGTTACTCAGGGACAGACACAGAATTGTTACTCAGGGACACAGAATTGTTACTGAGGGCCACAGAACCGTTACTTAGGGCCACAGAAACGTTACTCAGGGACACAGAATTGTTACTGAGGGCCACAGAACCGTTACTTAGGGCCACAGAATTGTTACTCAGGGACAGACACAGAATTGTTACTGAGGGACACAGAATTGTTACTGAGGGCCACAGAACCGTTACTTAGGGCCACAGAAATTGTTACTCAGGGACACAGAATTGTTACTGAGGGCCACAGAACCGTTACTTAGGGCCACAGAATTGTTACTCAGGGACACAGAATTGTTACTGAGGGCCACACAGAACCGTTACTTAGGGCCACAGAATTGTTACTCAGGGACAGGGACACAGAATTGTTACTGAGGGACACAGAATTGTTACTGAGGGCCACAGAAACGTTAATCAGGGACACAGAATTGTTACTGAGGGCCACAGAACCGTTACTTAGGGCCACATAAAAGTTAATCAGGGACACAGAATTGTTACTGAGGGCCACAGAACCGTTACTTAGGGCCACAGAATTGTTACTCAGGGACAGACACAGAATTGTTACTGAGGGACACAGAATTGTTACTGAGGGCCACAGAACCGTTACTTAGGGCCACAGAACCGTTACTTAGGGCCACAGAAACGTTAATCAGGGACACAGAACCGTTACTTAGGGCCACAGAATTGTTACTCAGGGACACAGAATTGTTACTGAGGGCCACAGAACCGTTACTTAGGGCCACAGAATTGTTACTAACGGACAGACACAGAATTGTTTCTTGAGGGACACAGAATTGTTACTGAGGGCCACAGAACCGTTACTTAGGGCCACAGAACCGTTACTTAGGGCCACAGAAACGTTAATCAGGGCCACAGAACCGTTACTTAGGGCCACAGAAACGTTAATCAGGTACACAGAATTGTTACTGAGGGCCACAGAACTGTTACTTAGGGCCACGAAAACGTTAATCAGGGACACAGACACAGAATTGTTACTGAGGGACACAGAATTGTTACTGAGGGACACAGAATTGTTACTGAGGGCCACAGAACCGTTACTTAGGGCCACAGAATTGTTACTGAGGGCACACAGAACCGTTACTTAGGGCCACACAATTTGTTACTTAGGGACACAGAATTGTTACTGAGGGCCACAGAACTGTTTACTTAGGGCCACAGAATTGTTACTCGGACAGACACAGAATTGTTACTCAGGGACACAGAATTGTTACTGAGGGCCACAGAACCGTTACTTAGGGCCACAGAATTGTTACTCAGGGACACACAGAATTGTTACTGAGGGCCACAGAACTGTTACTTAGGGCCACAGAATTGTTACTCAGGGACAGACACAGAATTGTTACTCAGAGACACAGAATTGTTACTGAGGGCCACAGAACCGTTACTTAGGGCCACAGAATTGTTACTCAGGGACACAGAATTGTTACTGAGGG